GGCCTGATGAAGGACGAGAACAACGATGTATTAATAACCGAATTCATTGGACTCAGAGCAAAGATGTATGCGGTGAGATTGTATGACACAAAGGGCACTAAAAAAGCAAAACGTGTAAAGAATAACGTTGTAGCGCGAACGATAACGTTCGATGATTACACACGGTGTTTGAACGAAGAGATCGAAATGACTCGCCGTCAATCGTGTATATGATCTAAATTACATGAGGAATACGATATCTGAATCGAAAATCGCTCTGAGTCCATACGACGACAAACGATACCGGACTCGACGGAGACGTTATAGGGACATTGGCGGCTATTTTTGTAATACATATGTATTATATGTATATATATTTTATATGTGTTATATGTATTACACACACACGCACGCACGCACGCATGCACGCACGCACGCACGCACGCACGCACGCACGCACGCACACACGCACACACGCGCGCGCGCGCGCATTATATGTAGTATATATTGCTATTATGTATTATTATTATAATTTACACTTTATTTATATTTATACAAGTATTATTGCTTGCTTTCTCTCTCTTTTCTTCCTCTTCTTCCTCCTTCTCCTCCTCTTTCTTCTCGAGCTTAAGCAAACTCTGCGTCATCATCGCGCGATTGTCTCTTTATCGCGCGCACGCTGAGGCTGTCAACGATCTGTCACAGCGATTTGAATAAGCTTAAAATGCCTGTCCAACACCATGTCCTCCTCGATTCTATCGGTCTTCAGAGCGATATTTCTTGTGGATCGATTCACTCATCTTAATCTCGCTCGCGATTTTTTCACGCACGTGCACATCAGCTATGTTCGTCTCTGGCGAAATATCGACAGCGACTGACCACGTTATAGTATCGCGAACTCATTAATTCTTTTTCTGTATCTCCCGTCTTTAAGCGCACTATCCTTTCTATCACTAGAAATCCATTTTTTTTTTACCAACAGCTGGGACACTACAAAGAAATTCGACGTACGACACATCGGTATTCAAGTGATCGTTGTAAACGTGTTTCAAGTTGGTACCGTCCTATTTTAACAGGATCAGCAGATTCGCGTTATCGTGTATCAGATGTTTAGGTATCCACGCGTACGTCTGACAGAAATAGAAGCAGTCGACGTTCGCGTTGCGATCCATCGAAAAGTATTCTTTCACCGCATCCTGCTTGTCGCTTGCCACGTCATCAAAAATAAAAATAGAATTTGGGCGCGCCTCACTCGGTGGAACGACACTGTTGTTGAAGAACGTAAAGTAACCGATTTCGTCGATAGACGTGTACAAATTTTCGAGATATCGATACTTTGGCCGTTGCAACGATTTCGAATAGACGTACACATTCTTGAAATGAGCGCCGTTCGAGCTCTCGAGTAAGCTTATGAGAACGTTGGTTTTACAATTCGACGGGCTGCAAATGACCGCGCGTATAGTACTCAGCAGTATTTCGCCGTGCTTGCGCTTCTCCGCTCTGCCTCCCATTATTCGCGATTTCACATCACAGTTCGTGACACAATCGTCAGCGGTTGCAGCACAAATTTCAAGGTCTACTACGGACTTCGCGCTTTCGAACGACTATTTAAAGGCGCGCGAACCCGCGAATCGTGCAGTGGCAAAATGTATCTCGCGCTGTGTCATCCTTTCGATTCGAGACTTGAGCGCCGAGTTGCAATATATATCGAAGGTTGTACTCCTACGCGTGTACGACGACTACATCGAACAAGTCTAGAACAAACTTCTGGAACATGGCAAATTCGAGATTTGAATCTATCGTCGCTGCTATGAGCACTACAATCAGCAGTGACAACGGATGCACATCGACGGTCCCGTACCTAAGATAAAGGACTGTAGCGAATGTCGGCGTCGTGCAGCGGTGCTGAATCGAGCGATTTCCCTTCGAGTTACATATTCCGGGTAACCAGTTTTGCGGCCCGGGCACTTGGCTTACGAAACGATTAGCCAGAGGTGACGCGGGTATAAATCCGCTGGAAGCAGCGTGCTGAGAACACGACATTGCATATATTCGGAGCAACAATCTCATCGATGGACACGCGGCGGACAAAGTACTAGCCAAAAAGGCGAGGAAACGCATTACCGCGAGTGATTCGGCTCTGAGCGAGAGAGCTGTCGCTGCTGCCATCTGGGCAGCGATAAAAGCCAAGACCAAGATCGGCATGAACATGAAACCGAGGAAAAAGACGACGAGGAAAAAGGCGATGAAAAAACGGATACTTCCGATGGCGGAACGAAGCGGTGGATTATCGTTTCTGTCAATGTTGGGCGCACTCGGGTCCTTGATCGGCAGAACGGCCAGCGTGGCGAAAACGGTAAACGAAAATGTTTTGCGGCCTAAAGCCACATGACGTCAGCTCGAAAAGCTGCAACGTTACGGTCGCACGATAAAACAGAATCGCGAAATGTATCTTGCTCCGTACAAATACGGACGCGAATTGTATCTCGGCGCAGACAAGGCGTAGCTGCCAAAAAAAAAAAAATACCAAAAAGACGATAAAAATGCCGTCTAATTCAACTACTAATGTGCAAATGAATGAGTTCGCGAGAGCCCAAGAAACGTATGCGCATACCATACTTTAGAGACGTTTTCATGCGAACTCGTTATCGACGATGTGTGCCGACACAAAAGCGTATCGTGAATCTGGATGATGTGACGGGTCTCACTCAGTGGTACTCACTGGGTACGCGAAGAGGAACAACCGCGTCGTGTACTTTGACAGTTTCGATAATCTTCGACCGTCCAAGGAACTGATGCGATATTTCGGGAATGGTGCTACGACGATAGAGTACAATCATATGTACGTCCTATCATGTGTACGATCAGAGTTTCTGAGGACAGAGTGTTAGTGTCTGCGGTTTCTACAAACGGTAGACGCACGTGAATTTAAAAAACTCGACGAGATGCTGTGAAATCTTAGTATTAGTCGAAAGCTTTTTCCGTCATGTCGCTGACGCTTACGCTGAGCGGGAAGGGCATCGTTCTCGCGGCGAACTATTGTACATTCCCGCCATAGATTTGAGTAACGACGATTACGAGCTCGGTTTAGCAATTTTTGAGACTTATCACATGGTACCGAACGTGAACGAATCGAACAACAAATTTTATTTCGCCAAAGACGACGCGAAAATTACAATTCCCGAGGGTTCGTACGAAATGCGAGACATAAATAAATTTTTGAAACGCGCAATTTTACAAAAACGCCCATGCCGCGACGCGCTTGAAACCGTTAATGTAGTGCCGAATAACACCGATGACGGTGATGGTGAGGGTGGAGAATATCCGATTACGCTCCGCGCAAACTACAACATGAGATGCGAAATTAGATATGCATAGAATAAACTTTAGCAAGTCCAACAGCATTGGATCGCTGCAGGGATTCTCGTCGAAGCGTATACTGCGGCCACAAAATGGCACGAATCCGACGTGTCGATCAACATAATGAACGTAAATGTTATCCGCGTAGAGTGTAACGTGACCGTGGGCGCGTACAGCAATAGCAAACGCGCACACAATACACGAATTTGCGCCCTAATCGTGCCGCCACGATATAAAATATCAGAGAGGCCGGCGTAAATCATTTATCTACCGATCATCGCACGGAGCATTATGGATCTAACGATACGCATCATCGATCATAACGGACGATTGCTCAATTTTCAAGCAGAAAAGATCACCATTAGATTGCACGTACGACGGCGCCAGTAATAACGTGAGCGTGAGATGCTCGTGCTGAACGGAACGGAGCGCACGCAGAGAGCGCATTCTTTATAAGGCCGGTGACGGCACAACTCGATAACACTCGCTCATCCAGCTGTCTCAGAAAGAAGAAACTCAGCGCGTCGAACATTACATTTTTAAAGTCTTTGGGATTTGCGATGCGCAACATTTGAAATGACTGATATCCTAAACATTAAAGATGAGCCGATCTTCGACGGTCGCATCGTCAAGATTGAGACTCACACGTACAACCCGTTCGTCAACACAACGTTCGGGTACAGCGACAATATAAGAATACCCATTCAGAACAGAATCTATACATACTGCTGTACTAAAACTTTCTATATATCGAGGAAAAACTGACGAAGAATAAAGTGGTCCAGAGTACTAACGTGGCATTGGGAAATAATTGCGTCGCATTCATATTCGATGAGATTCGATATGAACTCAACAGTGTGGAGATTGACCGTAACAAAAACATTGGCATAACTAGCACGCTTAATAACTATACGACAGTGTCATCCGACAACGTGATTCTGCGGAATGTCAGCTGGAACGCGCAGATTACTGCGGCCGGACACTTTAATTTCTGTGTACCGCTCTACGTATTGCTGGGATTTTGCGAAGATTACAAACGCGTGGTGATCGAATGCTCGTCACGAGTTGATTTTAATACGAGCGCGCAACGACAATTGTCTGACGGGAGATCCAACGATAGAGCCGACGCTCAAATTATTCAAAGTACAGTGGCGAATGCCGCACGTATTATTGAGCAAGATAAATAAACTGTCGATGCTGTGCGCTTTGGAGAGCAGACGATATCCGAGCATGGGGGGATCTGTACGAGTTTCCACTCTTACAGAGCACAATCAAATATTTGTGGGTCATCAAGACGGCTACTCAGCTCGAGAAACCGCGCTACGTCATTTTTGCTATGCAAACTGCATAACAAAATGGTTGTAAAAACATCATATCCGAGGATATAAATCGATTCGACGACGCAAATTAATCAATGTAATACTCTATCTGAATTCGGAATGTTATCCGTACGATGACTTGAATCTGGATTTTGATAAAATCTGGATTTGATAAAAACAGATGTGCAATTCTGTACGACTTGTACGCGCATTTCTGCAAGGGCTACTACGGATATAAGTATCTCGAGCCGAGTCTCACCTTTACAACTTCTTTACGTAATGGCCCGTTCGTGATCATCGATTGCTCTCGACAGAACGCATCGGTCAAGAATGGACGTGCGATTAGACTTTGAACATAAGGAGAACGTGCCCGTAATACCGTAAGCCTATTGTCTCATCATACACGATCGCGTAATTCAGTATAATCCATTGACCAACGTTGTGCGCAAAATCACCTAAGTGCACCTCCGACACGATATAAAATCTATGATACGCCGCAATCGACCGCGCTCTTCTCGACAATATGTCCGTGCCAACGTTCGTGGATCTCTGCAAAGATTCATCATTAACAAGAAATTTATCGTTAAGGAAGTGGTGGTAAAACAAGGGACCGTTCTCACGCACTACATTTTTACGAGTCCCGTGCCATGGAAGTTTTTGATAAGATCCGATAGGTCTTGCGCTTCCTGGTTGAGTGTTTATCATCATGAGTTGCGATGAGAGGACGGAATGATCCCGTACAACGAGACGAAACGCCTGATCACGGCGGCTCTATTTAAAGATGATGCTATAGTATACGTTAAGAGACACGAGAAACGAACATAGCTGGAATTTGCTGAATGATGAGCGAGAATGCATGTACTATACATCGAGATCTTGAATGCAGTTTACAAAGACATGGAATCTTTAACTAATCTGGATGTTGTTAATACTATGCGATGTGAACAACGTGTTAAGAATTACGCGTTATGTATTGAAAATATATAATTGGCGGTTGCAAAAAAATTATTTAAATAAAAATACATTAACGTATTTATTACATATTTATTTTTTCCCTTCCTTTGTAATACATGTACTCGTATGTATGAACGTATATGTATATAAAGGGTGTCCCAAAATTAACGCAAGATTTGAATTTGTCGCCATTTGTGCAGTAAAGTGTTGGCAACCCAAAAAAAAAACAATTTAACAGCTGACAGTTTAGGGTTAGTGAAAATGGAGCGTGTAAATGGATTATTGAACATCAACAAATGGATGCTGATTTTTCGAGCAAAATCATCCTAAGCGATGAAGCACATTTTCACCTTGATGGCTTTGTTAATCGCCAAAATCGCCCCCTAGATCGTGTGATTTAACACCATTAGATTTCTTTTTATGGGGTTATTTGAAATCACAGGTCTATGTCAACAAGCCCACAACCACCCGTGCATTAAAGGAGGAGATTCAACGCTGCATCAACGAAATTCAGCCACATTTATGCAAAATGGTCATGGAAAATTTCGACAAACGAGTGCGTATGTGCATGCAAAGCCGTGGAGGCCATTTGCCCGATGTGTTATTCCACAAATAACCCTATCCTATGTACTTTATGATTCAATAAAAAAATAACAATCAAAAGACTAAAAACTGTGTTTTCTATTTAATTCAAATCTTGCGTTAATTTTGGGACACCCTTTATATATATGTATGTATGAACGTGTATATAAACGTATGTATGTATGTATGTATGTATGCACATGTGCGTGCGCGCGCGCGCGCGCGCGTGTGTGTGTGTATCCGACATCGACGCTTCTGTTAAACGCGTCGCGACATGTCTGATTTGACATTACATATATGCAATGTATATAGGTAGTAAGGCTTTTTTCATTCAATCGTAAGCTTCAGTTACAAGCGTTAAGACATGAATCGAGTAAAAGAATATATACGCCAAAAATCGAGCAAAAGGGGTACCGTCCCTTGTCACCAGGTCTGCCAAGTCCACCGCCATCAAAAGAAAGAGTGAGATATTGGGAATGTCCTGGAGAAAAAGCACCAAAGTCGCCAATGTCCTCATCATCAACGTTATCGATGCCATCAAAATATAAATCATAAAGTATAAACATTGATAAAAAACGCGAACAAAGAAAATATGTAGAAAGACATAAAATACAACCTTGCGAACAAAAAAAATATGCAGAAAAAATGCGATAAAACGTGTCGCGACACGTTTGCAATTCTTGGAAAGGAAGAGGGGTACTCCCTCTTTTATAGTCGTAATTTACACGGATGCAATCAGTTTTGCGATACCTGCTTGTATGAATAGTTCGTACTTCGCTAAAGACAGCAACGCATCATACGAAACAAAGAAGGACTGCAGTAACATGTAAGTTCCAATGTTCTATACACAAGAGAAATGTTTTTGACATTATGTACGTACACAACATCGCGCGGTGCGTTTACTGAGCAGATGTTACGATGTGACGGTTACGGGCTACAAATTTTTGGAAAGTGGAATCAACGTTGGTCCACCAAGTTACGTGGAGATCGCCTTGGGTGATTATCGCGGACACGAATTGTCGCTGTCTCTCGAAACGTGGAAGAGACTCTACTAGCAGCGATGGAATATTTACATGATGTTTCGAAATGAATACAAAGACAATTTTATAAGTGTTGAATCACTAATCGACAGAGTTTGCACGCTGAACGATGCTACATTCGTACGTCTCGATTCTTCGTCTGTACGCATTACGATAAAACGAAGCTACGTCGTATGTTTGCGTTTGACGGATGTATCAATGGTAACGTTCGAACAATTAAACTGACTCATCGATACGGTCAACGTCAAGTATTCGCGATTCTCCAACATCGCGTCCGCAGCGATAACAATATCTTGGAGCAGCTCGTCGATTGCGAGCTATTGGCTTTTGTTTTTAATACGTACGAAAAAAAAACGATGTAATGACCTGTAAATAAAAAATTTTTCATTCTCATCATTATATAATATATATTATATATTATATATATTTTTTCTTTGCTTCTCATCCATCCATTCTATACCTCGACGCGCTATCGCACGTTTATATAAACACATTCTCTAAGCCAACGCTTCTTTTAACGCGCCTAGAATTCTAGAGTTCCATAGTATGTCAACACTAATGATCTAAATTGTTTTCTATACAACGGCCGCCTATAATTAATATCCCGGGCATCTTTGCCGCGAAGAATACTTCTCAGCATCAGTTTTTGTCAGGTATCGTTTGCATGAGGTTCGTGTTGTTTTTTTCTTTTTTCTTAGTTCAGTGATTTTATAAACGTACAAGAGTATTCTACCATTTAGATGGTAGAATATTTTTGTATGTTTATGTGATTAAATGAAAGTGATAGTGACAATAATAGTGTAATTTTTTAGAAAAAAAAATTTTTATTACCTCCGTCCTATTTATCCTGATATTGAATTTTTCTTGAATTGATTCACAAACGATAAGCAACTTGAGAGAATTAATTGATGTCCACTACGAGTATTCCGTTGAGAGAGTAAATAGTTTTTTCTTTTTTCATTTGTACCAAATATTTTAACGAAATTGTTTTTCTAACGTTTTTTTACTTTTTATTTTTCCAGTATATCGTGGTCGATAATCTGAGAGTTGTACGCTTCCAATTGAGAAACAAAGTAGGAGTTTTAATAATTCCTCTGATAAATTCAATATAAATTATAAATTATAAATTATAAATTATAGATAAAGTATTTTCTAATTATCTTTTTCTAATTTATTTTTTTCAGGAGACACATTGTAGTAACATTAGAATAAGAAGGTTCATGAACCTTTTTAATGCGCAGATAATACGCGCAGAAAGATGATGGGACCGGGAAGAACGAGTGGACATATGGGAGGAAGGTGACTTTTTTTGGCGGAACTCTTCAATCTCCGGCCGTACGAGCCTGATCCGGAACCAAAAAACTGGAATTGCAAGTTTGATAAAATCTTATTGATAAAATTTAAAGGATACATATATACGAGGGGGGACCCAAAAAAACGGGAATTTCGTCATAACTTCTTTATTTCTCAATATTTTAACACCAAATTTTAATCACCTTCAAAGATTCGCCATTGACCACAACGCATTTCTCCAAACGATTCTTCCATTGTTCAAAACAGTTTTTAAATTCACTCATCGGGATGTCCTTTAAGCCTTCCAGCGATTTTTGTTTCACCTCCTCCACAGTGGCAAAACGCTTTCCTTTCATATTCCTTTTGAATTTGGGGAACAAAAAGAAGTCACAGGGGGCTAGATCC